CGCGAGGAGGCGCGGCTGGAGCGGGCGGAGCGCAGCCTGGAGCGCGACGCGGCGCTGTTCGACGAGTTCCTGCGCGACAACGACTGCAGCTCCGTGCAGGCCATGCGCGTGTGAGCGCCGCCGCCTGGCCCCGGTGTCCCCGATGTCCCCGGTGTCCCCGGTGTCCCTGGTGTCCCCGATGTCCCCAATGTCCCCTACTGTCCCCAATGTCCCCTCCTGTCCCCGATGTCCCCGATGTCCCCTCCTGTCCCCAATGTCCCCTACTGTCCCCAGTGTCCCCTCCTGTCCCCAATGTCCCCTCCTGTCCCCAGTGTCCCCTACTGTCCCCAGTGTCCCCTACTGTCCCCAATGTCCCCTACTGTCCCCGGTATCCCATCCTGTCCCCTATTGTCCCCAATGTCCCCTCCTGTCCCCAATGTCCCCTACTATCCCCTCCTGTCCCCAATGTCCCCTCCTGTCCCCAATGTCCCCTCCTGTCCCCAGTGTCCCCTACTGTGCCCAATTTTCCCTACTGTCCCCAGTGTCCCCTACTGTCCCCTACTGTCCCCAGTGTCCCCTACTGTCCCCAATGTCCTCTACTGTCCCCAGTGTCCCCTACTGTCCCCAGTGTCCCCTACTGTCCCCAATGTCCTCTACTGTCCCCAGTGTCCCCTCCCGTCCCCAGTGTCCCCGACGGCCACCCCCCAGCCCCAGCCCCCTGTGACGGCTGTACGAGTGGTGGGGTCCCCTGAGACCCTCGGGGTTCCGGGGGACGGTCCCCAACCAGCCTCCACCTCCCCGGCCTCGCCCGCCGCAGGGCCGAGAAGGAGACCAAGGCCAGGATGGAGAAGATCTTCGAGATCCGCGAGCTCACCACCCAGATCACCAACATCAAGAGGTGAGGGCAGAAAGTGTCAGCCGGGCGCGGCGGCGCGTGCCTGTCGTCCCAGCGACGCGGGAGGGAGGCCCAGGAGGGAGGCTCGCTCGAGGCCAGGAGGTGGAGGCCAGGATGAGCAAGAGCGAGACCCCGTCTCTACTAAAAATAGAAACAAAATCAGCCAAACAAGTAAAAATAGACAAAAATAACAAACGGGGCGTGGAGGCGCATGCCTGCCGTCCCAGCTACTCGGGAGGGAGGCTGAGGCTGGAGGCTCGCTCGAGGCCAGGACTCGGAGGCCGCCGTGAGTGAGGCCGACGCCCCGGCACAGATGGGGGAGACAGAGGCGGCCGGGGGGACATCGGGTGGCCCTGTCGTATAGACCACACGGCCTCCGGGGGTCAGACTCGGTGACGGGGTCCCCCCCCCAGGCGGGAGGTGGCACTTCGGTGACAATTGTCCTCAAGGGGGAGGAGAGAGGGGACAGGGCGAGAGTGACAGGCCAGGCGCGGCCAGGGCGGAGGCTCAGGGGTCCTCCCCGCCCCTTGGCGGGGGTCAGGGGTCAGGGGTCA